ACAGGAAAAAAACCACAACTAGTAACCTTTATTTTAAAGGACTATTTTAGGCCTCAGCTGGGCTCTCTGTCAGGACTCTGCGTTGGAGATCTCTTCCTGCTGCCCTGTCCGAGAGGACAGTCTATCACTGTTCGGTGCCCATCGTGACAACATTTACTGGGTGTTGCCTGTGGACAGAGCCTTCGACTGGGGCCAGTGGTTCTGACTGGGGTGCTAGGAGTAGCAAAGACCACTTAACATTAACGTGAGAGGCAGAACGTGCACTGGAGACATGGGGTCAAGGCCAGCATCTGCCACTTACGAACTGCGTGAACTTGGACACTCCCTTCTCTCCAGGCCTGCACCTCTTCCTTGGTAGAATGAGAAGTGTGGACCACATGATGGCCAAGGTCTCTTCCAGTTCTAAAATTACGTTGAGATTTTTTTTCTTTCAGAATTTAAAAAGGGAAGCCTAACTTAAGACACAGACAGCAAATCTAGCATCCTGGTGCTGGGTTTTTGACTTTCACTGTTGCTAACTTCCTGGCCTTGGTATTCTTCTCCTTAAAGTTGAGTGAATGGAAAAACTTAGATTCCTGGACCTTAAGTCAGTACTGCCCCTTCACCCCTGCCTATGCATTCAGGGGGACCCTCCTTCCTGGGGACCCCAAGCCAGGAGGATGTTGCTTGAATAGGCCCCCCTCTGCCTTGGAGGTAAAATGAGAAGGGAAATGAGCTAATTGGTGTGAAAATGCTCGGCAGTTTTAGAGAAAGGGGCTGAGAAACCCAATCCTGGGAGAATGACGGGGGCCTTTGTGTGGCCCAAATGCCAGGGCCCCTGATTTCACCAAAGCCAGCCTGGGAGCCGTCATCACCTTGGCTCCCTCCTCTGCGGTGGCACTGACACCAACACACAACACTCTCCTGTTGAGGGTCCCGTCATGGGCCCCCAGCATCAATTCCGTTGGTCTTTATCTTTTGTAGTGTGAGAATGTTGTGTTTGCAAGCAGGTCACACACTTCTCATGGACAGAGACTGTGCACTGGAGGGTAACAGGCCCCCCAGGCTCACACACCCTCTTGGTGAACGATTGAGTATGGAACTTGGTGTTGTACAGATCTTGGTGCGAACCCCAGCTCAGAGGATCAGTTTCCATGTCTGTGAAATGGTCATCCTCTTTTAAGTGAGCGTCTCAGGTTGGGTCCTTCTGGAAGCAAAAGCTGAGATGGAGTGAAATGAAAAGGTTTACTAGGGAGTAATACCTATGAAAAGAAAAGGGAGGAGGCAGGACTGGGCAGGGGGAGCTGGCAGAGCTGACAAATTCTCAACGTGCCTGTTGGCCCTGCGCCAAGCTCTGGGGACAGACTGCCTGTTAGAAGAATTCCACAGACGGGGGAGGGGGCATAGCCAGGACCTTGCACTGCTGCCTTGCTCAGTCATTGTCCCAACTGTCACCCCGAGAAGAGCATGATGTTGGCTTGAAACTGGGGTGCGCCCTGAAGGAGCGAACAGCTGGATACTGTCAACTATTGCTCTCCTTGCAGCTGGACAGCGAATCCTTTCTTAAAGGCATATCTCCGTGTCTGCCTTGGGGAAGTAACATAGTTCAGCCCAGAGTAAGCACTCGATGCATATTAACTCCCTTCTTTTGCTTTGGAACCAGGCAGATCTAGGCTCAGATTCCACATTTGTGACTTACTGGGTGACCTAGGACAAGCGTGATCAGGGCGTTAGTGTTCTCCAGTTTCACTTGATCACCCAACCTGGGCCATGACTCAGTGATGACGAGAGCACATATTTACCTCCCTGAACCTCAGTTTTCTCACATGTGAAATGGGGAGGATGGTATGCACCCCACAGGGTAACGGAGACATGTACCGGGCCCGGCACTCCAGTTGCAAGTCTTTTTATTCAAGACTTAGTAAGTTAGACTTAATACATGCTCGACTTCCTGCCCCATCTCAGTCTGGGTGTCTTAAGTCTGACCAGAAGGAACTTTATTAGCAGCAAGAGAGTCTATTAGGGCACAAATTCTATGGCGGTAAGCAATTTTAGGGGGTCCCCAAAAAACCAGGGCCTCCCACTTTGGTTAGCTTAGAAGAGAAATGTCCTCTTAAGATATTGGCTTCGCTGCTCAGGACCCAAGCTGTGTCTGTTTAAGCCAAGTCTGTGTCTTCCTTCCATGTGTCTTCCTTGCTCCAATTTACTTATACCCCAAGTCAAGACTGAGCTCTCTTGCCCCCCCACCCCATGGAATATCAACTTAAACTTCGTCTCAGATTCCTGCGCCTAGGTGAAACCAGCAGTCTGCGGGCCTAGGAGGTCTCCACCAGACAGAACTCAGAGAATCCACTCCTTTCCTCCCCTGTTACTCACCCCTCTCAATTTCCATCAGATGCCTTGGGAGGGGAGAAGGAAGGACAAGCAGATAAAGAGAGAGACATTTGTCACAGAGACCTAGAAGCATCTCAACTCTGGAAAATGGGCAAGTTGAGAAGGAGCTAGGCTCAAAGGGAAAGGAGAAGGGAACTGGAGGAGGGCAGGAGAAGATGACTTAGATGTGTACATGCTAATATCCTAAAACCCGGCAGGGACTCAGGAAAGACTGGTATGAACATGGGCCTGAAAATTCTTTTCCAGACTCCTCCTTATCTCCTGGCTTCCTTGTTCCTTTCTACCTTCAGGGATGATGTCAGGATGAAATGAGGAGCCAAGAACCTCCACAGGTGTCTTAACATTTATAAGGCACTGTAACATGTATGAGCTCATTTCAGTCTCAAAACCTTCTGGGTAGGTGCTATTTGACAAAGATTCTTTGCTTAGCCAAACTTTAGTCAGGCTTCTAAACCTTCTTCTAGACCCATCTGTGTACTTTCTTGTAAAATCCAGCTTTAGCAAGAATCCTACTAAGTCACTTTGGCAAGAGTGCCCCATCCTCAATATCTGATCACCCTCCATGTCCCAGGTTCTGCATCTGCCAGTAGCCCTGGGTGATGTCTGATCACCCTGGCCTGTCTTCAGCAAAATGTCCTATTAGGTCAGTTGAACCAGAATCCCCCTCACTCCTGATGTTTTCACTTAGTCATTTTCCATCCACTGACCCCCACCCTGCTCCTTACCTATCAATTCCCACTTGCCGGCGCTGTATTCAGAGCTGAGCCTGGTTCTACACCGAGGTCCCTTTCACCCTATTGCAATAGTCCCTAGTAAAATCTGTCTTTACCACTTTAACTACTCTCCAGCTCTGGTTTTTCATTGACATATTATCCCTATTTTATAGAAGAGGAAAACAAGGCTCAAAGAGGTTGTGACTTGCCTTGGGTGGCCGAACTGGGATTCAAGTCCAGGTGTCCAGATAGCCAGTTGGAGTCTTGGCCCCCACAGTAGCCTCTGGAGAATGTTCTGCGCCTCTGGCTTTCCTTGCCCTGGAAGGTGGGAGGTTATCTGTGTGAGCTCAACAAGATGTCGAACTCTTCCTTTGATCTAACCTGGGATGCTTTTTCCTCCTCTATAGATGGGAAACTGTAGTCCAGAGAGTGTCACCAAACAAAACACACACCGAGTTAACAGGGAGAACTCGTGAGCAAGAACTGACACAGACAAGTGATTAAGAAGGCCAAGACAGACCTGGTGGCTATGTGATTTCTCTTCAGTGCTATCTTCCTCCCATCCTGTCCAGCTGCTCTCTGCCTGAATTCCTTCTTACCTTTGTGAGTTTCCTGCTTCCAGGAAATAATGGGATCAACTCACCCATAAAGAGGAGAGGGACAGATGGAGGGACCATGCTACCCCTCTGTAGTATCTGCGTTATACCTGGAAGGTCCAACCATTGGGCTTTGGCTATAATTGGACTTTTTGTTTCAGAAAGCAAGTTTCCAACATGGTGGTGGAGCCTTCATGGTCCTCTGAGATGGCACCACAGTGCCAGCTGTCTATTCCTCTTTGGGCAAGGCTGGCTCTGCCTGGGAATGTGGAAATGCCGATTCCTCCTCCTGGGCTGTGTGGTGTCTGAGAGCCTGAGCTCCCTGCTCTGGGACCAATCACTCCACAGACCCCATACTCAGGGAATCAAGTCTTGAGGAGCCAGAAACAGGGCTTCGTGCTGTGGCAGAGTGTGGAGGAAGATCTCCGTGGTTTTCCTTTGCAGAGCTGCATCAGCCGCATTCTCTCACCCTCAAACTCTGCCGAGCTCACCCTGTCTGTGGTTCCCGTCCCTTCCTGGTCGTGCCTGTGAGTCCCATGAGATCAAACTGGGATGACCGGAGCTCCAAGGTCTCCAGGAGCAGTCCCCACTTCCTCATGGGGTCACAATGACCTTTCCCCAGGTTCGACCCTCAACCTCACTACCCATCCCAGATCCCTCAAGCTACTTTCCCAGGTTGCCTCAGGATATCTGGACCCTGGCTCTGTGCTCCCTCTCCTGGAAAGAAGACATCCACCTTTTGGTGAGGGTCTACCACGGCCTGGCACGGAGCAGATATTCTAAGCCCAGCACTTCTTTCCAAAGGTTGCACACAGGGTATTTGTGATTCCTATCTCTCACCGCATGTCGTTGGCCCCAGTCCCATGTTTCTTAGAGTCTCCTCAAATCTCACTCTCTGTCCTATTCAGACAGTTCCAAACTCACCCCCTCTTGGCCCTTTTCTATCCCATCTCCCCTGCCCTTTCTTCTGAAATGACCCAGCTGCCTCCCACCGCAGCGGTTCAAAGCTCGGCAGGACAAGGGCAGCCCCTGGGGAGAGAGGAGAGGGCCCAGGATCCCAGCAGGAGGGTGGCCCATTCATTTCCAGGGTGCCCTAGTTTCTATCGCCAACCTCCCCATCCCTCCCCCTGCTTGGCTCAGGCTGACTAGCCGCAGAGCAATGGGTGTTTCAGTGTTTTTTTTTCCTGGTGGGGGAAGAGGGTGGAGATTGAGGAAAGAAAAGACGGAGCAATGATGATTGGCACCGGGCCCCGCCCTCTTTTGTCCTCTTCCCCTGGTACTCTGGCCCCTCAGGGAAATGCACCTATTTCAGGCCAGCAGCTGGTGGGGACAGGTTCACCTCTGCTCCTCGCACCACTGCTTCTGTGCTGAAGAGCTTCCCCTGGGGAGCCTGAGGGACTCTTTCTGGAGCCATGAGGGGAGCCCATTGGAGGAGGGTCCCCTGGCTGTTCCTGAGCTGCTTATGTTCCTGCCTCTTTTGGCCAGTGGTCCTGGGTAAGTGACGCACCTGGGGCAGCATTCTGGGAGCCGAGGGTGACTGCTGTCAGGGAGCCCATCAGCGGAGCTGGGGCCTTTGTCGTGGAGAGAGAGATGAAAGGACAGAGATGGGACAAGATGGAAGAGAGAGAGAGGGAGAATGCTACAGAGACAGAGAAAAGAGGAGACAGAGACAGAGAGAAGCAGAGAGATGTCTGGGGGACAAGAGTGGCCTGGTTTTTGGAAACCCATCGGGGGAACCAGGCCTATTTTGTGGAGAGAAAGAGACAGTAGGCAGAACTGTAGAGAGAGTTGAAGAGAGATACTGACACAGGAAAACAGGAAAGCTGGGTGACAGAACTGGAAGAAAAATGTATATAAAGATGTAGAGTTAGAAGAAAAGACAGGTGAGGAACGGATGAACCAAAGCAAAATAGACACAGAGAAAATCAGAACAAACAGGCAGAACCGAAAGGAAGGAAGCAAGGAAGGAAAGAGGCAGACTGGCTCTGAGAAACAAGGCAAGGACTAGGGAGCAGCTGAGATGCGGGCAGTAGCTTCTTGCCTTGGCTCATTGGCTCAAGCCCTCAGGGCAGGGCTCATAGCCCTGTGTTGGGTGTTGGCCTTGGCTTCCTACACACGCCACCTCCCCTCTCTGTAAGGAGCTGGGGGGTGGGGAAGGAAGCAAGGCCTGTCGGAGAAGTTCCCCCTGCGTCGCCCAGTCCTTTCCCCACCACCTTCCAAGCTGCCCCTCTGGCTCCAGGACCAGGGTTCATTCTGTATTTCTGAATGTCTGAGTCTTCTCAGAGGCTCTGGGGCCCAGGAGAGGGTGAGGGGTCAGGAGCCCAAACCAAGATACAACAATCACAGCTCCTTCCCCTCCTCAACAGGCCTGGGAGGCTTTCACCCAAGGCATCATTTCATGGGGAGAGCGTCGGAAAGAACACACTCTCTTAGGAGAGTGAGAGACACATGCCAGTGAAGTGGAATATTCCGCCCTCCTTGAAAGGTTTAAGGGCTTGGCTAAGGGCAAATAAAATGACCATCGCCTCCCCACCCTCCCAGCACAGCCTCCCCCAACGCCACCCCCCAGCCCCACCCACTCATTACACACTAAGGAAATGGAGGCTGGAAGGAGCCTTCAGAGGCTGCAGCGGCCAGCCACTCAAGGTCTTGTCCTGGGGGTAAAATATAGAGCTGTGGAAGAAGGAGTGTCTCTGGGAGTCATGACCATGGACAATGGGGAGAATGTGGCTTGGATTTAGGGGCCCTGGGGCCTAGTTTTGGTTTTGCGCTAACTGATCTGGTGCCTGTGACCAGGCCCTATTGTATCTCTCTCAAGGCCTTGGTTCCCCTGTGTAAAAAGCTGGGTGGTGAACGGTGTGACCTCTGTTCCCTAAGTTCTTAAGTTTTGATGTTCTGTGATTTAAAGTCAACACGAAAAGTGTTCGGTACCAACTCCGCACTCAGCCCTGCGTTAGGGTCATCAAGCTCAGGAGGAGCCAGGAAATCTGTGGAAAGGAGCCCAAAGGGGCAAGAACTTGGGTGAGAGCAGGCAAGGAAAGCCAAGGGGGTGAGCGATAGGGTATGCGCGAGAGAAGGGGCAGAGGACCATGAAGGTGGAAGGGAGCCCCCAAGATGACCCTGAGGAAGTGCAGGGACATCCTGAAGCTCTGAGTCCTGTGCATTGTTGGGGGATAAAATGGAGCAGGGCTAGGAAAGGAGGTGGGAATGGGATGGGAGGTGGTTTCCCAAGCATCTGATTGAGCTTCATGAGGACTTGGAGGGAAAAGTAGTCTCCACACCTGCCTGGGGGAGCTTCTGGGAAAGTGGAAACTGGTCCATCCTGTTCCCTTGGATCCCTGACGGGGGCTTATGGGTGACCTGCCTATATTTGAATCCAGAGCCTGTTTCCACACTTGCTGCCAGCAGCCTCGTCCAGACCTGGGTCATCCCTGGAGCAGGTGTCAGAGCCTCTGCCCAGGCCAGAGGGAGGAACTCCGGGTTTCCACCTAGGCACTGCAGTGGTAAGGGCTTCCTTAAGGAAAAGCCCTGGCTCTTGAAGGAGAAAGGGAACAGGAGGATGGACAGGGATGGGCTGGATAGGGAGCCAGTGGAAACTCAGTGGCTACTGGTGGCTCCTGGCAGGAATGACTCACAAGGCAACCCTGATTCCATGCCCTACTGCAATGAAACTGGGTCAAAGTAAGCCTCAGTCTCCAACACTATCAGTGGCTCAGTAACCGAGGGGCTGTCGCCCTGCGCGGCCACTGGGAGTTCACCGGGTAGTAGTAAGTACAGGACAGGAGCGGTCCACAGTCCCAGAGGGCCCCAAAGGGATGGGTCTCCTGCTGTCCCTCTCTCACAGAACCTCCAGTCTGTCTGTCGGTTTGGGAGAGGACTAACCAACTAGCCACAGAGGGCACCAAAACCCTCTGCAGGCCATCAGCTCCCGCCCCCGGCCCAGGAAACCCTCACTGTGCTTGGGGACACCCAAAAGGAGAGAATCCCTGAAGAACAGGTCCTGACAAGAAAATCAATCAAATTTAGGCCAGCGGCTCAACAAAATGTACAGCAAAGAGGAGGAACTTGAGATCAGAAGGCCCCATGTTCATGTTGCCATTTACCAGCCCAGGAAAGGTGAGACGAGTCCCTTTAGCTGGGTGTCTTCATCGGCAAAATGAGTCAAATGTGAAGTGGCTATTTCCTAGGGTTGTGGTGAGGGTAAAATGAGGTAGTCTCTGGAATAAAGTCGAAGAGTCGTAAAGTTGGTTTGAGAGAGAAATCATTCCATTTCAGAGCTGAGGAGATGGGAAGTGAGGAGGGGGATGGAGCCAGACATAGAGCGGGCACCTCTCTTGGCTCAGAGGCATTTTCATTTATCCAAGGATCCTTGAGTCTCTAAGAAGCCACCTCGTCCTTCCTGTGGGTTTGCAAGGGCCAGCTTGGTTTATTCAGAATGTAGTTTATAAAGCGTGAACAGATCCTAAATGCCAGCTCTGCCATCGGGCAAAGGCCCTGCTCGAGCTGATCCCACCACTTCATGGTTCCTTGCCCAGCAATCTCCTCCCCGCCCTTGGTTTCTGGGCTCGGCTCCGGAGGCAGAGGCTGTCCTGGCGGTATTTGACACGGGAGTGATTTAAGCCTTCATTGCCAGGAGAGGCCAAGAAGCGGCTGGTCTTTTACGTGCTCACGCAAGTGGTTTGCTACCCTGTCTGTTCCCTGGTTTCATGGCACCGTGAGATGCCTCAGAGAGGCACATCACACAGCTCGCAAAGCCACTTCTCCAAAGGCCAGGACCGAAGAGGTTATAGGCCATCTCTCCTCGCAGTTCCAATGTTTCTCCTCGAGTGTTCATCTTTCCTTCTACTAGGCTGAATTCGTGGCAAGCAGATACTTAGTCCTTACTTCCCAGCAAAGCGTCAAGGAGTTGAGTTGAAGTGAATTCAATTTGTTGGCACTTCATTGAGGTTTAAACACTCAACGTTTTCCTTGAGACTCTGAAGAGGCCCCAGGATCTGAGTGCCTGTCTGTGTTTGTGCACGAGGCCTCTACAACCGTGGCCATGTTCAGATGGAGCGTTAGGGTTAGCGTTAGGGTTAGGCTTGGGTTGTGGGCAGCTCGGTTCTCCAAGTACGCATTTTTGAGTTCTGCATAGACATCTATCCTCTCTTTAAATACTCCCAAATAAAACTGCAGTTTGAGTTCCAAAAATCCTGCTGACTGGGTTTTGGGGAATTCAGAATAGGAAAGAGTTTAGAGTTATTCATTCACTTGCTAAATTTCTGCTTGTGCCAAGTGCTCTGCACACAAAGATGAATAAGTCATGGTTGCTGCCTCCAAAGCCTGTTTAAGGTCACATAGCCCATAAGAAGGGCAGCTGGGACCAGAAGCCATATCTCCTGATTCCTTGTTCACTAGGTTTGCCTTGCAGCACAAAACTGCTTACAAACAAATCTCTAAACCAACACAGCCCATTGAGGGAGGAAGAGCAGAAGCTGAGATATTCATCCATTCATGCGTTCACTCATTCATTTATACATTTGTTAATTAAACAAGTATTTAAGGAGTGCCTACCTTGTAGCTAACATTGTTCTAGGGCAGCACTGCGTGTACACAGTGAAACTGGAACAGACAGGGCGTAGCCTCCTGGAGCTGGGATCTAGTATCAGAGGGAGAGAAAATAATTACTGCAAAATTCCCAACTACAAATGTGGTGCTATGGTGAGCAAGTATTATGGTGAGAGTAAAATAGGGAGACCTCGTTTAGATTAGTAAGTCCAGAAAGGCCTCTCTGAGGAAGTGCTGTACATTTGAGCTGAGAACTAAACACCAAGTAGTAAGCCAGGTGGGGGGAAGATGTGCAGAGTGAGGAGAGAGCTTGGCCCTTTGGAGGACTTTAAAGAGGTAGGCAGGTGCTAGATCATGCAGGGCCTTGTAAGCTGTGGAATTGATTATGGATTTTAGGGAACTAAAATGGGTAGACAGTGAGGGGTTTTGGTAAAGGAGCGATGTGATCAGATTTGAACTCTGGATATCGTTCTGGATATTGTGGAGGAAGATGGATTGAAAGGGGGCAAGGGTGAAATGAGAGGTCAGTTAGGAGCTGGCTGCAGATGTCCAGGCAGAAGATGCTGTGGCTTGGCCTGGTGGTAGCAGTGGAGGTCTGGGAAGGGAATGGAGCAGCAGGCAGAGGTTCTACCCTGATAAGGACACGGTCACAGGATTGCTGCCTTTGCTGGGATCTCAGAACTTTGTAGAGACCAAGATACCAGGCAGCGCAGAGTGCCATTTACTGAGCATAGCTACTGAGCCCTTTACATAGGTTACCCCACTGATGTTACTATTATCTACCATCATCCCGCTTTTATAAATAATGCCTCCAAGACTCAGAGAAGTCAAGTAACTTGCCCAAGTCATACAGCAAATGTTGGTCAGTTTGACTCTAGAATTCACGCTCTTAACCACTCCATGGCTTTGTCAGATTCTGCTGTTTCTTGTCCATGTCAGGCTCAGAA